CCACACTGGCCAATAACTCAAAGGAAGGTATCTCCTGTCTGGCATTGTTTCTTGTTATGTAGCCTTTAGCTATACATACGGACTCTTAAAAAATTTTATTGACCCCATTAGTTTTTGGTTATACTTTCTTTTTGGGTGTTTAAGACCCAATGACTAATGCCTATATAAAGATTTGAGCTTTACAGATAATAAAGAGAACAAGAATAATAACTTTATAATCTTAAGTTTGCATATTTTAGTGATAATTTCCATTTTGGATGACAGTCAAGGGCTCTCCAGGGTGGGTGGTGTGTGTGTAAGCCTGCGAATGTTTAACTGAAGATCATTTGGTATCTAGTATCCAGAACCTTTAAACCACAGGGGAACGTGATGGCCGTAGAATTCTCTGGCTGTGGTATTTATTCTGTGTCTCTGAAGTTCATCTAGGGTCCAAACTGCGGCTGGCCACAAGAAGGCCAGTAGCTTGGCCTTTTTAAAAGAAATACAGGACCTGGCTGAGGAAATTTATGAAACGATGGACAAGGCAAAAAACTTACAAAAAACTTGGATGAAAAGATCTGAAACCCCAGGTATGTAAACCTCGTGTAACTGAGGTGCTGTCAGTTTGGGCAGAGCCCCAGGGGAGGCTGAGAACCCTCAAGGCACCACGTTCCCCTTAGAGGGCTGAGGGAAGGCACACCCTCTGCTGGGTGAGGCAGCCACTGTGGACTGCTGTGGGGGGTGAGAATGCATTTCCCCTCCTCCCAGGGAAGGCACCTATCATCAGACTGTGGCCCACCTGGCTTGGGTACTTTGGTGAGGTTCTGTCCACCCTCCTTTTTCTTCTATAGCTGTCCTTGTCCATGTCCTCTTCCTATGTTTGAGGCCTGGCTATGCCTTTGCTAGACACATTCAGATTCTTTTCAACCTTGTAGATTTACTTTGGTCTTTCCTATGCCACTAACATATTGATTTAATTAAGGCTTACTGGAGATTCACCTCAGTGCCTCCTGCTGGCTAGGCAAGTGCTCTACCACTGAGCTATATCCCCAGCCTTCTTTTTACTTAATTTATTTATTTATTTTTATTTATTTTTTGAGACAGAGTCTCACTATGTCGACCAGGTTAGTCTCAAAACTCACAGAGCTCTGCCTGCCTGGTCCTCCTAAGTGCTAGGATTAAAGGCATGCGCCACCATACTTGGATATTTTTTGTTTTGTTTTTGAGACTAGGTCTCATCTGTTCCAGGCTGCTCCTGAACTCACTATGTAGTTGAGATGACCTTGAGCTATTGTACCTGGCTTTGTGCTTTGAGACAGAATCTCAAGTTTCCCAGGTTGGCCTCAAACTCACACTGTAGTCCAGGTTGTCCTTGAAGCTGTCAATCTCCTGACTCATCCACACCAGAGCTGGGATTGCAGGCCTGTACCACCAGGTCTAGTTTATTTATTTATGTATTTGAGACAGGGACTGGCTGTAGACTGGCCTGGAACTCAGGATGCTCCTTCTTCAGCCTTCCCTAGCACTGCGAGGTATGTTCCATGCCTGGCTGGCTACTAACACTTCAAGTCTGCTCTCACATAATTAGCTTGCTTTGACAAGAAGTCTTTGGGGTTAGTGAAGTGAGCTATTCTGTAAACTAAGGTAATTTCTGTTCATTATGAAACATATCTACATTATAAGAGGCCTGGAGTCCTCTTATAAAGCGATCATAGAGAAAGTTAGAGTGAGTATAGATTTAGAGCTCATTTTACAAGTAAGGTGTGCATCACTGAGGGAGGAGCCAACTGTCGTCTTCATATGGCCTTATGGCCTGTCTCTGCCTGTGACCAGCTTTGCTAAACTGAGGGCTACACTGATCTTTCCCTTTTTGTTTTGTTTTGTTTTTGGTCTTTTTGAGACACAACCTCCCTGTAGCCCCAGCTGGCCTGGAACTCATTATGTAAACTAGGCTGGCTTTGAACTCACAGAGATCCCCCTGTCTCTGCCTCCTGAGTGTTGGGACTAAAGGCATGTACCACCACGCCTGGCGATCCTTCCCTTTTTAAGAGCTACCCATCAATTGAAATTAGGATAGTCAATTAAAACAATTACTTCTCAAATATATGTTGTTCATATATATATATATATATATATTACAAAAGAGTGTTTTTAAAAATCTGAAATTCAGGGGCTGGAGAGATGGCTCAGTGGTTAAGAGCGCTGGCTGCTCTTGCAGAAGACCTGGGTTCAGTTCCCAGTGCCCACATGGCAGCTAACAACTGTCCATAACTCCAGTTCCAGCGGACCTGATGCTCTCTTCCACAGGCATTGCATGACATGAGTGCACTTACATCATGCAAGCAACACGTTCAAACACATAAAAAATATGAAAATAAAAATGAGATATTTTTAAAAAATCTTAAATTCGAATTTAAATGGGTATCGTTTGTTTTCATTTGGTAAATCTGGCAACCCTAAACATTCAACTCAACTTTTTCCTTGTATCTGTCTTTATCTCTCCACCCCTCTTTCTCTTCATGAAGGATGTTCCAATAAATGGGAGAACCAGGAATGAGCTCCTCAGAGGTGCTGGCATAACTTGCTATTTCTGGAGAGAAGGCATCTCCTTTCTCTGTGATGGGCAGGACAGGGCGGCTCTGGCTTCCTTTGTTTCCTGGTGAGCCCCACGTGTATAAAAAGGCAGGTGTGCTTCAAACAGCAGATGAAGGAGTCCTATTGGGCCCTACCATGGGGACATTTATTTTTATAAGATTTGTTTTCAAAGCTGGGAGGACTGAGGATTCACATCTCTCATCCCAATACTTGTGGGGTTATGAATTCAAGGTCAGTCTAGGCCTTGAATTCAGACCCTGTCTTAAAAAACAAAGTAACTTTTTCTTTTTTTTTTCTTTTTTTTTTTTTGATTTTCAAACGCAGTTTTTCAAATACCATTGAAAGAAGAATTACTGTTTTGAGATGGAGTGTATTTTCAGTTTGTTAAATCTCAGTTAATTCCCACAGCATAATTAAAAAATCTGAAAAGTCATAATTTCATTTCTCTTTCCCTCCACCTCTGTGGGGTCTTTTGCTTTTGTTGTTGTTGCTGTTTGAGACAGGGTCTTGCTATGTAGCTCTGGCTGGCCCAGAACTCACTACATAGACCAGGCTGACTTTCCTACCTCTGCTTTCCCAAGTGCTGGGGTTACAGGCATACCTCCGTGCCAGAGACTGGCAATAAAACCCCACGATACCGGTAGGAAAGTGATTGAAAATTGGTTTTCTAATTTTTTTCTGGTAAATTAACAGCGTGTGATTTGGAATGTGGCAGTAATGGTTTTCTTCATAGCCAGTCTTCTGTTTGGAGCCTTTGTCTTCCAGCTCTGATCCTGCTTTCACTCATAGACTGAAATGGCCTCTGAACACGTGCTTTGGGGCCACTGACCTGATCTGTTAAATCTGCTTTATTTTAGATTCTTTGTATGGTTCCAGTTTTTTAACAGTAAGTATCTCCACCAGAATTGACAACAGACATAACTATTGCTGTTCTGTTTTTAATTTAATATGTATTTTCAAGAACTTTTTCTGACTTACTTGATTTTTAGCAACAATTGTGCAGGGATGGGATTCTATAGAGATAAATTTACCCAATACATAAATTGAAAGATAGAATTTCTAGGAAGATGGAATCAAGTCAACTGAACTCAAGTCAGGTGGGATTAGTTTTAGCACATGACCTTTGACTAACTTTAAGTACAGGACTTTCAGTTAATGCCCTCGTTACCAATGGGGTGACTTGTCATTATCTGGACATAGTTTGGGGCTGTCATACCTGGGGGTGGGAAAGGCCATGCTTGGTCTCTGGTGAGCTGAGGCAGAGATGCTACTAAGCATCCTTCAATGACAGGCTGTCTCACCTGGCCAGACATCAGTAGTATCAAGATTAGAAGGCCTAAGTTCCTCAGTCACACTACCCACTAGGTGCTCACAGTTCAGTCATTTTCAGTGGCATTGTGTTCACAGTGGCATGTATACTGGAAATTGCCCAGTTCTCAGAAGGGTCTAAAGCATTCCGGAGAAAAGAATATGTAGTAAAACCATTAGAAGAAAAGCTTAACAGTAAGGGCCAATTAATACATCTGAATGGAGCAGGAATGCCAGTGATTCCATTAAATAAAAACACCAGCACAGGAGGATCACAAGCCTGGCATCATCAGACACCCACCACAACTCCAAGTTTTCTAATACACCAGGGCAACAGGTGGATATGTTCAGGCAGACTCAGTTTTTCAAATAACTGAAGAATTTAAGCTTAAATAGATGATAAAGTACCAGTTCAGGTCAGGATTGTAACCTTTTGGTCCTTGTGATCCTACACGGAAACAAAGGCAGGTGGCTTGTGAGAGTGGAAAACTAACATCTTAACTTTTGAAAAGCAACTTATACCATTTCCACCAGTAATTGTTCTAACAGTTTTGCTTACAATACTAAAAACTTTAATACATAAAAATGCTCATTTATAATGATGGATAATTTTAATATCCAGACCTAGGGTAAGTAAATGTTGATAGCCTGCTTCATAAAATCTAGAACCAACACGGAAAAAGATTGTTATGTGAACTATGAAAAGCAGAATACACAATCATATCACAAAATATGACTGTGAGGCACAAATATCTATATTTATTTGTTTATTTTACTTTATGTGTATGAATGTATTGCCTACATATAGGTAAGTGCACCCATGTTGTGCAATGCCCAAGGAAGTCAGAAGAGGCTGTTGGATCCCCCTAGACTGGAGGTACAGACAGTTGTTAGCTGCCATGTGGGTGCTGGGATTCGAACCCGGGTCTTCTGCAAGAACAACCAGTGTTTTTAACCACTGAGCCATCTCTCTGGCCCTCTATTTTTATTTTTTTAAAGATTTATTTATTTTTATTTTATGTGTGTGTTTTGCCTGCATATATGTAAGTATACCACATGGGAGACTGGTGCCTGAGGAGGCAGCCAATAGAGGGAGTTGGATCTCCTGGAACTGAAGTTACAGATGTTGTGAGCCACCATGTAGGTGCTGGGAATCAAACCTGGGGCCTCTGCAAGATCAGCGAGTGCTTGTAATCACAGAGCCATCTCTCCAGCTCCTGTTTGATGTTTTTATACTTGATTTTAGACTTATGAAATTTTCCATATTTTCAGAACATTTGAAATAAAAGCAACCTAACAACAATTTCAAAATCTTGTTTTTTCAACATAGTGGCATGTTGGCATGAGTTTTTTACATGTTTGAAGCATCTCGTCTGTCTGCCTCCCCTTCAGTTAATCAGTAAAAGAGGACAAATTTTGGTATTGATTTTTCCATCAGATGGATCTCAATAAAGCTGAAGACGTGCTATCAAAATTGGAAAGCCTCCACAAGCAATCTCATGTTTGGGATTTTCTAGTTTCACTGCCCAGACTACACGTACCCAGTGCTCACTTGGAAGACACTATACATGTTGTGGTACATTTTCTCCAGGCAGTTTTGAAGTAAGTGAAAGAAAAATTTAAGCAATTAAGATATTGGCCTCCAAAGTTTTAGTAGGAAAACACGTACCATTGAGTAATTATGTGGTAAAAGAAAGATATCCCCGCTATCATCCCCTGAAACCCCTGGAGTTCTTGCTTATACCTCAGCCTTTGTCCCCATCCATCAGTGTGCACAACTTACCTGGATGCAGTGGTGCTGTTTAGAGCATGTTCAACTTTTAAAAAGTTAACAGTATCTTGGGGCGCCCATGGTGGCGCCTTAGATCCCAGGACTCAGAAGGCAGAGGCAGTCAGATCTCTGTGAGTTCAAGGCCAGACTGGTCTACATAGTGAGTTCCAGGTTACAAGGAGACCCTGTCTCAAAAAGACCAAAAAAAAAAAAAAAAAAAAAAAAAACAAAAAAAAAAAAAAAAAAAAAAAAAAAAATCAAACCCAAAAACAAAAACAAAAGAGATTAATATCTTATTAACATTCATTGATTCCTACAGTCTTCCAATGGTTATTTCAAATAACTATGTAATACTATTTGGTGAACTAGCATATGTAATAATTTACTTCATAATCAACATTAGACTTGTGGTTGTTTATAAGATTTTTGCCATTAAACAAGTGGCATAAATATAATAATTTTAACTAATAATTGTACTAATTACCAAATACCAAAGGCATCATACAGCCTTGATAAGCTCAGTGCTTTTCTGATGTAAATCAGCAAGTTGGACATTAATTGATATGGTATATTTGACTCCATGTTCCTGGGGGCACATTTGGGAGAACTTTGCATGGTGGGCTTTCCACTTTTTAACTAGTGCTTTTTAAAAATTAAATTTTTCTAGTTCAACTCATATGAACTCATTTTATCAGTAGGAGTTTTTTTCTTTTCAGATTTTTAACTTAACCACATACACACTGGAGCCCCTTGAAGAGCAGACCTAACTGGGGCTGGGGCTGGGGTGGGCACTTACCCAAACCCATGTGCTGGAGCTCAGCTCCTCTGAGGGTCAGAGCTCTGAGCTTTGGCTAGGACTGTTTAGTTGTTATGAAGATGTCCTGATGTGGAAGGATGAATGTGTTCTGACATTTGTTAGTGTAACTACTTGAACACAGTTGGTGGCCTCCCTCTCTACCGTTGCTCTGAACCCTGAATATATTCACAGTGGACAGTGAGAAGTCAGGTTGCTTAGAGAGGACCAATTTGAAACGAGAACGTGCCGACGACAGTGGCTGACATGCCATCTTCAGCATGGATTTCAGTTCTCCCTCTGCATTGGCTGTGCCACACCAAGAACATCTGTCCCTCGTAATGGGTACTTGTGAGCCATACCGCTTTCCAGTGACGCATCTTACAATCTTGGGAGTCCTTTCAATGCATAAAGTTGCCACAAGAGATTTTCCCAAGTGAGAAACTACAGGGAAAGGATCTATTTGTAGCCACAGTGTGTGGCTGTCCTGGCCTCCGTTGCTGAACTGTAACTATGTCTCTGCTTTAGCCGAAGATGTTTTCTGACTTATAGATTTAATTCTTTGTAAAATATTGATATTTCAAGAATGGAATGAATACCATTTATCTATAGACTCCCTCTGTGCAAAGCTCTTAGTTTGTGAAACAGTTTGAAAACCACCAATTGACCCCTGACTTGTTCGGATCCATGTCTGAAACAGTGTAGGGCAATCTCTCTGTTTTAGATGGATATGGGAACCTGAGGCAGTCAAGCTGACTGTCCACCCCTCTTTCAAGTTCTGTCTTCTGGCTGGCTTTGGCAATTGCCTAAGAGGGCCAGAAAGACCCAAGGCTGGGCATAAAATAGTGCCTGTGGTAAAGTCACCCCAATTAGGGGTGTGTGTGAAACGTCACTCCCTGAGGGTATTTCAAGAGAGGTGCTCACTGCTGCTTGGTCTCTTCCCAGGCAGTGAGAGTCATCTTAAAGCCAAGTGAAATGCTAATGGTAATGTTCCAGCTTTGGAGTCGGGATGGGGTCTGGTCAATGTGACCTTAGCACATTTGGAGTTCCTGATCTTTGACTGAATACCACCTCACACTGCTTGGTTTTGCTTTGATTCTAGTTCATTAACATCTCTGGGAGATTTAGACTGGCTGCCACTCCACCAGACCTTCCCCCAGCTTTCTAAACCTGTGCTGAACGTGACCATCTCGACACTGAAGTTTCTGCAGCAGCACAGAGCAGTCATCAATGGTGAGGGGAGCGAGTGCTGTTGCTGTATTGTGGATATTCCACTCTCCAATGTGTTAGTCAGCATAGACCCCTGGGGCTCTTCAAAGAAGTGATCAGTTAAAATATTAACCAGAAGCACATTGTTTCTGTTAATAAAAGATAGAAATAGGATGAAAATTTGGTGCTCAAGACTGACTTTGACTTTCTATCACTGTTGAAATTCTGCTGTTATTGTTTATAAGAATAATATATATTTTAATAATTTATTGAGAATTTCATACAGACATATAAGCATATACGGTGTTTTGATCAAATCCATGCCCACTCCCTCCCCTCCAACTCCTCCCATATCTCCCCATTACTTTTTTCTGATAACTTCATGTACTCTTTCTTCTTCTTCTTCTTTTTTTTTTTGGTCTTTTCGAGACAGGGTCTCCCTGTAGTCCCAGCTGTCCTGGAACTCACTATGTAGACCAGGCTGGCCTTGAACTCACAAAGATCCACCTGCCTCTGCCTCCCAAGTGCTGGGATTAAGGTGTGCGCCACCACGCCCAGCCTTCTTCTTTTTTTAATGGGGCTTTTTGCTACTCTTACATTCCCCCTCTAAAGAGGTAACCCTAAAATCTTTTAAGGATTAGATAAGAGCTCCCAAATACTTGACATTTTTCACCTTTGGAATGGAGTATGTTGCTAAGAGGCCCAAGGATATTTTGACTTTTAGCCAAGAAACTGGCTACTTTTCTTTGGGGTCCTTTTACACTAACTGACTAGCCAATTCCTACCTCCTATTCTTCACACCATCTTCTGAAGAGGTTACCCAACTTTCAGATAGGGAATTGGGACTGCTCTGGCTTCTTCCATGCTGAGCAGGAATGCAAGGTGAAGCAGTTGGGGTACTCCTTCAGTGGGTCTATCTAAAAGACTCCCAAATTTCTTAACTCTTATCTGTAGGGGGAAAAGAAAGTCCTTGACTGGTAAATAGGAGACGTGAAGGAGAAGCCAAGGCAAGAGTAGTTAGCATTACAAGTTCTAGACAGGGAACTAGAAAAAAGCCAGAACAGGGCAATTTTCAAATGTTCATATGAGAGTCCATTGAAATTTCTTGACAAGAACTTCCAAAAACATCCCTCTTTTGGGATCCTCATCATTTTTCTTTTGTCTGCCAAGGCTGGACTGGAGAGTGATGGATTCAGGATTTGCTTTCAGGCATTTTGATAGCTATTGGCGTGGTTAGAATCAGTGTCAGTTCCCTCTCAAAGGCTTCTACATAGGGGGAGAAAACAAATTTAGCCATCATTTTAGAACAATAGCAGGTTGTCTCCCTTAGCTACAGGTGGGCACCACAATATTGCAGACCAAGATTTGACCTCTTACATATGAGCAGCACTTTCTGATTTGAAACAAAATCAACAATGAGAAATAATTGTCTAAATAACTTTTTATATGGACTTAAGACTAATTTCTGAGAAGTGTAATCCCTTGACCTCTTAAAGAAATATACTGATGACTTTAGTCTTTGGTTATACTTTCCTTTTGGGGTGTTTAGGACCATACAGTTTGCCCAAATAAATCAATTTATATTTACACTTAAGGTCATTTGAAGATCTGTTCCTCGGGGGTCACATGGGCTTGGGAGGAGCCTCTTGCTCCTTTCTTTCGCCAGTTCCATCTATGTGAAGATAAGTCAAAGGTCCTGTTTGACCATGGCTGGCTTCATTTGGAAGCATGGAGGAAATGTTTCCTCTGAGTTGACCCTCCTCTCTGTAGACCGGACACTGGTTCAAGTCCATCTTGTGGAGTCTCCATGGCCTCTCTGAATGAGAGGACAGGTGACTCATCATAGTTACAGGACATATGGAGAGATGTTCCATAGTCCCCTGGAACTAAGTTAACCTTGGAGGGCAAGGGGCAAAAACTGTCCTTTAAGTCCCTCTGACCACATTAGTATAGGCCTCAAAGTATAGTTGTTAAACTTCCAATAAGGTTAGTTCTACCAGTTTGGTACTTTTAATTACCATGTGCTATATAGATAAAGCTTGGGTAAAAAACCAAATGTTCTCAGATAAACATTGACTAGATAAATATTTTGTTCCTTAAACTAGTTGACTAAACTATGACCTTAGAAATTTTAAGATTATATGTATACTATTTTTGTCTTATCCTTTATATATCACAACAAGCCTACATAGACCTTCCTTACTTGTTTAGGCTTTCTCATTTTCTCTATTTTGGAAAATACCTCCATTCCCATATACTTTTTAACATCTTTTATATTCTCATTTTCTTTTTTAAAGTAATTATGAGACATAATAACATTAACAAATAAATTTCCCATCTGTTGTGAGAGTTCTTTTTCTGGGGATGCTAAGCAATGCTTATTCCTTTTAAGGTTCTAGTGTCAAACCAATGTTTGATTAATGGTTTACTGGGGAACCGATGAATTTACTGAGCTTGTTTACTGAGATAACTGAGGGGCTGCTGAGGTGTATGAATGACCTGATAAGTCTTTACCCAGCGTGGGTCAAGCCTTCTCTTCCTAGCCTTCCCCAGATTGTATACTTTAGCACTCCCCTAATCCAGGAGACCATGTCTGATTAGGGCCAAATTACATAGAGTTGGCTGGGAAGAGTGGCTGGATACTCCGGTGAGGGTCCCACGACCCTGCTTGCTCCTCTTTTAGTGAAGGAGCACAACTGACAACAAGCCCAATTGTTACAATGTCAAAATCAAGCACTGCTGAAGTCAGGAATGATGGTAGTTATTTCATGCAGAAGAGACTGCTGTATAGCATCATCTTATTAAAGGACAGAGAATTTAAAAGGATTTGGTGCTAGGGTCCACAAATGAGGGAGAACATATGTCTTTTGTTTTTCTGAGTCTGTTGCTTCACTTAGTGTAACAGTTAATAGATCCATCCATTTACCTGCAAATTTTATTATTTCACTTTTTTTGACTTTTGCACAGAACTCCATTTTATTGAAATGTGTAAACATAAACATACCACATTTTTGTTAACCACTCATCAGCTGAGGGGTGCTTTGGTTGCTTCCATCTCTTAGCTATTGTGAAAAGAGCAGCAACAAACATGGTTGTAGAAGTTTCTCTGAAATAGGATGGATCCTTTGGGTATATGCCAAGGAGTGGTATAACAGGGTCATATGGTAGGTTCATTTTTAGTCTTTTTTAAAGAGTTCTCCACACTGTTTTCAATAGAGGTTGCATGAGTTTGCAATCCCGCCAGCAGTAAATGAGCGTCCCCCTTTCTCCACATCCTTACCAGCATTTGGTAGCATTTGTTCTCTTGATCTTAGCCAGTCTGGTTGGGTTAAGGTAATACCTTAGGGTGGTTTTAATTTGCATTTCCCTAATTATTAATGATGTTGAACACTTTTTGAGATGCTTCTTAGCCATCTTTATTTCTGCTGTTGAGAACTCTCTGTTTAAATCTTTAGCCCATCTTTTCATTGGGTCATTTGGTTTCTCGCTTCTTTGTTTTTTGTGTTCTTTATATATTCTGGATGTTAAACCTCTGTCAGATATGTCACTGGTGAAGATTTTTTCCCATTCTGTGGATTTTCTCTTCACTTTTTTGACTGTTTCTTTTGCTGTACAGAAGCTTTTTAGTTTAATGAGGTCCCATTTGTTGATTGCTGACCTTAATTCCTGAGCAACTTCTATCTGATTTAGAAAACCCTTTCCAACACCTATATCCTGTTAGTTACTGCCAATATTTTGTTCTAATAGTTTCAGGGTTTCCAGCTTCACATTGAGGTCTTTGATTCATTTGAAGTTGACTTTTATGCAAGGTGAAAGATAAGGATATAGTTTCATTCTTCTACAGGTGGAGACCCAGATTTGCCAGCACCATTTGTTGAAGATGCTGCCTTTCCTCCATTGTGTGTTCTTGGAACCTTTGTCAAATATCAGGTGGCTGAAACTGCGTGTACTCGGGTTTGGATCTTCAGTGATGTTCCACTGATCTATGTGTCTATTTTTGTGCCAGTACAATGCTGTTTTTATGACTACAGCTCTGTAGTATATTTTGAGATCGGGTATAGTAATCCCCCAGCATTGCTCTTTGTGCTCAGGGTTGCTTTGGCTATTTGGGGTCTTCGTGCTTCCATATGAATTTAATAATGTTTTTTTTCTAATTCCATGAAGTATGTCATGGGATTTTGATTGTGATTGCATTGAATCTATATATTGCTTTTGGTAGGATGGTCATTTTTACAATATTAATTCTTCCAATCCATGAGCATGGGCGGTCCTTCCATCTACTGATGTCTTCCTCAATCTTTTTCTTTAAAGATTTAAAATTTTCATTGTAGAGGCCTTTACTGTCTTTGGTCAGGTTTATTCCAAGATATTTTTTTCAGCT